TTAAGAAACTCAGCACAAACCTTCCAAAGGTTCAATGACGCGGTGTTGCAAGGACTCGATTTCTGCTACGGATACATAGATGACGTCTTATTATTTTAGTCATCCATCCAAGAGCACAAGAACCATCTGCGGCAACTCTTCGAATGCCTAAAGCAGTACGGCGTAGTGGTAAACACTGCCAAGTGTACACTTGGCCAACCAGAAATCACGTTCCTGGGTTACCACGTGTCAGCTGCAGGTACTAAACCACTTGAGTCCAAAGTCGAAACTATCAGGCGATACCCCGCTCCAAAAACCATCAAAGAACTAAGACATTTCTTAGGCATGCTAAACTTTTACCGTCGCTTTATTCCCAACGCAGCCCAACTTGAAGCACCGCTGAATGACGTTTTCAGTGGCTCAAAAATCAAGGGGTCTCATTCAATAGACGTGACTCCGCAATTACATCGAGCATTCAAAGACTGTAAGGAATCGCTATCTCAAGCAACTCTTCTTGCTCATCCCGACCCAGCTGCAGAACTAGCAATAGTGACAGACGCATCTGAGACTGCCATAGGCGCCGTCCTTCAACAACGTAAAGGTAAGGATTGGCAACCACTTGCTTTCTACTCTCATAAGCTCAGCGACGCACAGAGGAAGTACAGCCCCTACGACAGAGAGCTGTTGCATGTGTACGAAGCCATCAATTACTTCCGTCACATGGTTGAGGCCAGAATATTTACGATATTCACCGACCATAAGCCTCTCACCTTCGCTTTCTCAAAAAGCAAAGACAAATGCACTCCTAGACAGTTCAGACACCTTGACTACATTGCTCAGTTTACAACAAACCTGAGATACCTACCTGGTAAGGAAAACTTAGTAGCTGACGTACTTTCTAGAGTCGAGGAGATCACTACAGCTGTGGACTACGATGATCTTGCACGAGCTCAGGACAAAGATCCCGAACTGCAAAATCTACGTCTTCGTGGCTCTGCACTGCAACTGAAAAGGATCAACACGTTAAACGGTAATTTACCTGTCTATTGCGACACTTCTATGCAACCGCCACGACCTTAGTACATTACTCCTTCGTTCAGAAAACAAGTTTTTGAGACACTGCACAGCTTACACCATCCAGGAAGATCAGCTACTGTGCGATTGGTCTCCAAAGATACGTATGCCAGATACGCAAAGATTGTAGACAGTGGTCAAGACAATGCTTGTCATACCAAAAGAGCAAAATAACCCCTCATACCATTTCCCACCTTCATCCTTCCTCACTCCTTCGTCGAGATTTTCCCATATCCACCTCGACATCGTAGAGCCCCCTAACTCTGTCTTCTGGTTACAGATATTGCCTTACCGTCCTCGACCGATTCACGCGATGGCCTGAGGCATACCCCATGGTGGACATCACGGCGGAGACCTGCGCAGCCGGTCTAGTGTCCGGCTGGATAGTCCGATTCGGCTGTCCTGCACTGGTGACTACAGACCGCGGACGCCAGTTCGAGAGTCACCTCTTCAAGGCTCTCACGAAGTTGGTTGGTGCGCATCACCTGCGCACAACCGCCTATCATCCAGCTGCAAACGGCATCATCGAGCGACTTCATCGTCAACTCAAGGCGGCAATCATGTGCCACACATCATCACAGTGGACGGAAGCCCTTCCACTGGTTCTATTGGGCATACGCAACTCGCGGAAAGAGGATCTACAAACTTCGCCTGCAGAATTGGTATATGGTCAAACTCTCAGCTTGCCAGGCCAATACCTATCTCAAATAGACGACTACACCACGGCAGACGTCACAGAGTACGTAACACGTCTACGATCCTGCATGGCGAAACTCACTCCCAAGCAAACAGCATAACACACCAGCACTACAACGCCATTCTACATACCATGTGACCTCCGCACATCCTCTCACGTCTTTCTACGCTGAGATCACGCCAGAAGCCCACTCGAACCACCCTACGATGGACCCTTCAAAGTACTAGACAGGCAAACCAAGTACTTCACCATAGAAATAAGGGGTAAGAAAAACACCGTCTCTGTGGACAGACTTAAACCAGCTTACATGGCCAAAGAAACTAAAGAACCGGAACCCAAAGTCTCCGGAACCAGCCATCAACAAGGAGAAAATCACGCGCAGTGGCCGAAAAGTAAGATTTACGGATTACTATCGACCGTAATTACGGTCTGGCCAGGGGGAATATGTGGCGTAACTCGCTTAATTTAGACCTACGCAAATCCGCCACGCTCATGAAGATTAAGCCACACACTTATATCACGCCACAACCAGGGAACAATGCAAATCATCGATAAGATAAGACACCGCACCTTCAACGGAACGCGAGAATGTGCGACATTCATTCCGCCTGCAACCGGCATAGTAACAGGACGCGACGCGCTACTTATATCAATAACTTACATTGTTCTCGTAATTAATTTCATCTTGTAAATTTGTTGTAGTAAAAGTTGTTTGTTACATAGAAATAACATTACTTCATTCGAGTCAGTTAATTCTTATTCCTGCCCTGCATTAGTATTCGATTATTTACAATATAACGTATTCGAACACAACATTGGGTGTGGTCTTCACATCGGTCCCACATTTGAATACAACGTTGGGGCGTGGCCCCACAATTGGTGGCCCCGCGTTTGAATTGGTGAACCTCACAAAAACGAAACGTTCCAAGATTACCCCTTCATACCAAATTTCATCCCGAGATCTGCCAATAATCTTTTTTATAAAATCCTCATAATCAAAAAATTGGGCTGCACCTTATATTCGTAAAGTGTAGGTATACACGTTTTTCTTGTATGATGCCAATTTATAGGTGAGACAAAAATAAATTGACTATAATTTATCATATCTTCATAAAATAGTAACGGTGTGATTTGACAAACTTCACTTTGCTAAACAACTTTGACAGTTCGTAGCGATCTAAGGAGTTTATAAGTCGGTTTAAGTGAGAAAAAAGGTGTTTTATGAGCTTGAGATTGGTGAATCTTGTTCAGTTCAGTTCTTAGAACAATTAAAAATTTTAACTAAATATGTTTAAAACTCATAAAGATTATTGTATAACATAAAACTACGTTATCGTCCTTTCTCACTCGAGGCCACGCTAATATATATATATGATATAAGTACTCCATGGGGTGTCGTAGTATACTCTTAGTAGTCTTTGGGCATTATCTATGGTCAGGAGTTTTGGCGGGAACTTGGCCGACGACGGACTGTCGCTCCTGTTTTGTCGCTTGAATAATGGTTTGAAGTAGATTTTAATTCATAAAAGTGATGTGATTTAGTGAATTAATTGTTTGCGCGTGTGAACTATTAGAGAAAACGACGAAACAAGTGTTTTGATGTTGATATAAACCTCAAGTTAATTTGATCGCTTGGGCGCCTTATGAACTTGATTGGCTGTCGTCATCAACAGTTCGTTGGGTTGAGCTGTCGTCAAAATCTTCCAAAAACTTCGCAATGTGACGCATCAGCATATTGTGATAAAAAATAATTATATAAAATGAAGATTCTGAAAGAAATGATAGGCTAAGAAAGGCACTACCCAGAGCCGTAAAGCCAGTTAAAAAAATGTCTATGGTCAGACGTCAATGCCAACTGTCAGTGTCAGAGTAAGAGTAAGGAATAAGGATGTCATGTATCACTGACTTAAAAATTAAAATAGGGATGCTCGATGTTACAGTAACATCGATGATGACATCGATGCTGATATCGATAGCTTAACATCGATGTTCGATGTTTGTCCTACTCGACGAACGAAAATCGATGTTGGCCATTATCGATGTTATAGCACATTTAATTTTAGTACTATTTAGTAGGTTAAAATTATTAGAATAAAAAATTGGTTGTGTTGTTTATGGTTTATTATTAATGAAATTAAAAAAATAATAAAACATTTAGTGTGAAACAGTAATTCGAAAAATTGGAAATACTTAACAAATATTTAGTGAATTTGTTATATTTTTTGCCGATAATGGTATGCCGATGGTGGTAAATTATAATTTTGATATTTAAATGTTCCTATACAATTATAAATCTGGTATTAAAAAATTTACTATCCTTATTTACGATTTAGACGTAGGTTTTATATTAACTAATCATTATCTCGAAATAAAAAAAATTATTATAGAGGGAAAATTAACAAAGAACTTCACAAAAACAAAATAATAGACTTTCCGTCACCTTTGTTCACACAATGTTTAATCAAGCAACTCAAGCAGTAAGTATCCACAGCCATTTATAAAATGCACTGTAGAATGCAGTGAAATTGTCTACGCTCACGATCGCCCAGTAATTTATTTTCATAAACTCCAAGCAAACAATAAACTTGTTATCCCAAACTTAAAATAACAGCTAAATATAATTAAATTGTGTTGATTGCATAGTTTCAAAATTAATTGGGTATAGACATCAAGGAAAAAACAACTAATTTGAATATCAATTTATGTAGAATAGTTATTAGGCGACAACCGACAACGACACCACAATACCAAAGCGAAAGTAGTAACAACTGTGATATTACAGTTCATACTTAACAGGGAGTTTGACACAACATAATGATATTTCTTTAGGTGATCGATGCATTTAGGAATCCTTAATTATTCAATATTTTAAAGCTTTAATAGGATGAAAGTAGATGAAATATTTAGTTGATATTGATTTCGCGGGTTCGCGTGGTTCACGAGTTCTTATTAATCGATTATTGGTTCATTGACATCGATGTTTGACATGTGGCAATATCGATGTTTCGATGTTTAAGACATGGTAACATCGATGTTTTAATTTCTAACATCGATGATCATCGAAAATCCCTAAATTAAAAATCTATGTCATGGATGCTGCTGCGGTTGGGTTTTGACTTTTGAGGAAGTTGAACAAAATTTTGATTGAATTAGTAAAGTATTCAAAGTATAACAACTTTTGATTGAATCTATATTTAACAAAATTTAACTCTTTTTATCTTATGATATATGCTCTAACCTATGAAGTAAAATGTCTGAATCAGAAACAGTACCAGTAGATCGAGAAACAAAACTTGAAAACATTGCCAAAAAGCGGGTTAGGCATCGAAAGCGCCAATTATACGAAAACATATTAAAACAAATGGAATTTTACTTTAGTGATGCTAACTTGAGCAAAGATAGATATCTTAATGAGTTAATTAAAAATGATCCATACGTATCCGTTACCGAATTCTTGAAATTCAATAAAATACAATCTATGACACAAGATGTCAATGATATTGTAAAGGCTTTAACACATTCCACGTTCTTGAAACTCTCTGAAGACAAATTAAAGGTAAGTTTTTGAAACTGATTATAATAAGAAGCAAATTATCTATCCAGTGGTAATTTCTTATTTAATTTATGTCATTATTATCCGAATGAAGCGACCATCAAGGGTCGCCAGGGTAAAACTATAGCCATTCGGTACTTGCGTACGGGGATGAGAAGGGGCTGGGGGAATGGTTGGGTTCAGGGAAAGCCTTATATTTTATGTATAATGATTTTCATTCATCATTCATCATTACAGCCCTTCACTCATAACAAGGCCCCAACCCCCTAGAACCTTTTACCAACCGAACCCCCCCAACGCACTGGTTGTACAATCTAGTTTTTAGAGATTGAGGTATACCTGACGAAAATGATTTTTATTGTAAATTCTTAATATCATATTTTTACACAGGAATACTGATCCAAAGTTACTTCTGCAATGGCTTTGTTGCTGCGATTAGTGCAGCCCCTTCGCCATTGCATAGCAAATTGCAAGCGCAATCATACTCACCTCCTCAGATTTGGCTTATTGGTCACCTTCGGAGACCAGCCTCAGTTTTTACAACTTGCACAGGTGCCTGCAATTTGCTACAGCGGGCAGGGGCTGCTCTCCCTCTACACCTACGGCTTCATAAAACACTCTAGGCTTAGAGCAGACAAGAGTATGTGGAGGTGGGGTATGCTGATTCAGTTTTAGTACAGATTCAACCTATTTTATCTATAAAGTCAGGTTGCCCTGAACTCTGCTATGATTTAATCATAAACAATGTAATGTAAATTGTTATATTTTTGTTTTCTGAAAAACCTCTTAATTGTAATTGAATTTGTTATTTTTGAGTCCCATCTTAAGCGACAAATTGACTGTCTGGGTCCTAGTAATTAAATTCTTATGGGTATACCTGTGTTAAAAAAAGAAATTGACATATTTGTGTTTTGTCATATGCTATTTTTAGAGAAATTTATTTTTTGTCATAATTCAAAACGCATTTTCAAAAACCAAAAACATTGCAAAAATTTCAAGCTTTACCCTGACAAGCCTCCTAAATTGAAAACATAATTAAAATCAATGTTTATAGTCAATCAGTCAACAGTCCTTTTTCGTCTGTGTCTCACTAAACAGATAGATTATTTGCAATTGTGTTATGTATTAGTTTAGTTTAGTTTACGACGGGCTGTTTTCCGCAACTCCACATCTAAGCGCGTATTTTGCGTGTGGGCAGGAATAATATGCTTATTCGTGCCATGATATCTCCCCGAAGAAGCTCAGCAGTCCCTTGATGTTGCAAGCAACTTCGGGGAGCAATCCCGGCGTGCCGAGATGTTTAGCCCTGTATGAAGCGACTTCTGGGCATGTCAGCAACACGTGAGCCGCCATTTCTTCCTCTCCCATGCATGCCCTGCATAGGGGGCTGTCAGTAACACCTATGGTGAACAAATGTTTGTTAAAAGAGCCATGTCCTGTGATAGCACTTGTCACTATCCTGATCTGTGGCTTGTTCAGTCTCATTAGAACCTTGGTTAGACGACTGTTTATTTCAGGTAGGGCCTCCCTAGCTTGTAGGTGCGTGTAAATTATTGAAGTATCTACATACCAGTGAACAAATGTGGCCAAAGGGGATTGGTATTATTGGTTTCGGCCCTATAGTTGCTAGGGTCGATCCCCTTCTGACAAATTCATCTGCTGCATCGTTGCCTCTAGATCCACTGTGTCCCTTGATCCATTGCAGAGTCACATTATTGTGCTTACATACCTCATTCAATCGTTGATGGCACTCGTATATCAGTCCCGAGTTCGTCACATTGCAACTCAGAGCTTGTAGTACCACCATACTGTCGGTCAGTATTCTGATGGAGAAGTCTTTCACCTTCCTAGCATCTATTGCTATGGCCGCTTTGATGATACCCATGCATTCAGCCTGGAAGACTGTGTTGTGGGTACCCAGCGGTGTGCATATGTGGATATTAAGGTCTTCAGAGAAAGCCCCAGACCCCACACCTTCATTTGTCTTAGAGCCATCCGTGAAAACTTTGAGCTCTCTTGGACCCAATCCTTTCAGATGGTCAGTTTCCTTTCAATTGTATCCTGTAATTCTTATCGAATACAAATTATTTTGGAATCCTATCATACTTGGCTTGTAAGATAGGAATTTTTGAATAAATTCTATCGATTATATCTGTATGGGGGACTCTACTCTTACTTAAAAGATTTAGGGTCTTGAGTATAATGGCAGCTAAAGTTGCTTCTTGTTATATATGTAGATGAAGCAGTGTTAGCTCCAGCATAGCCTCCAAAGCTGCTGTTGGTGTAGTCCTTATGCAGCCCGTGGCAGCTATACAAGCTAATCTCTAGTAACGCTGAAGCTTTTGTATAGTGGTGGCTTCATTGGTTTTGGTCCACCATACCAGAGAGCCGTATGTGATCATGGGCCGAATTACAATTTTGTACAGCCACAGTATAATTTTTGGCGTTAAGCCCCATTGTTTGCAAATCATGTTACTGCATTGCCAGAAAGTTAAACTAGCTTTGCTGATTTTGTTTTCTATGTGTTTGTTCCAATTAAGTTTACTGTCCAAGGTAAGATCTAGGTATTTTACCTCAGAAGAAAGTTGGAGTTTTGTGCTGAAAAGACTTGGAAGATGATAGATGTGTTATGTATTATAATAAATATGATTTTGATTACATAATAAATATACATGTTATGGACAAATCTTGTAACCAAGTAACTTAACTCGCCGTTGGTTGCACCCCTTTCAGCGACATCAATGCTTGCTATGGATGAAAAATACTCAGATACAAAATTACGTATTTATCAAAGTTTATTGCTGTTTTTGTTATAAATATTTGATACAAATACTAAATATATATCCATAATCTTCATTAAACTAAGAAAACATATTTTGATGCATGTGTTATAGAAAAACTTCATATCATAAATTCTTACCAAAATATTATCTTGATTTTTAGTAATTTGCACAAAATCACAGAAAAAGTAACTTGTAATGTCTAAAATTAAAATTTGCTTTTTTTGTCTTAAAAAAATACTTATTTTTTTAACTTGACTACAATCACTAATATATGTCAATATGTTTCAAGTAATAAATGAACATCTAAATAACCTTATAAAAACTAAGAAAAAATTACTACTAGTCAGACTTATGCAAATAGGATTTTGATATTTTGAGTGATAATTACTTAATTTTTGAATACAATGTGTAGTGTATGCTCCCGACATACCATTTTGTTACAATTTTGACAACAATAATTAGCCTTTTGATCCTTTTTGGGAGGACATGCTTGGCATCTAGATATAGCACATGGTTTTTTTTGATGTCTATACTATTTCTTCGTTGTTTAGCTGCCCTCCATCCCTGTTATCATTCCGAGGCATAAACTTTATCTTTCCTTTCAGATCAGTGGCAAATTAGGTATAGCTAATCGCCTTTTGATCTGGGGGTGATAAGATCCAATCCCAAAGACTTGATGTATTGTCTGAGCACATCCTCAGACTGTTTGTTTGCTTTCGTAATGATATAAGCGTTTGTGCCTCCCATATTTAACAGTCCATAAAATACCATTAATGGTCAACTTTTAGTGATACGAAACACAGAATAAGAGCCACACATTTCATCGACAACCTCATCTCCACAGTTGACATTATAATCAGTGATCATTTCTGGTTTACTTTGGTCACCAGTTTGAGAGTCGGTTTTTGCATCAGAAGAACAACTGCTATCATCCAATTGAAAATATTGTTCTATTTCTTTATCGATCACTCTTTGACGTGACATTATTATTCCTTATAACTAAAATAAAACTCATAAATTACGTAGCACGAATTATCGCTAGGGGTGGAAAATACCCACACACCCTTTTCACGTCTACAACTTCCAAACGCGTCGTGCCAAATGATTGCTGAGCAGCTAACTTGTAGTCCGAAACATAACTCGAAGGTACACGAAAGCGCAAGGCGCTGGGATTTGTGAAAAAGAAATGAGTACAGAAATGTACACGCTTGGGTAAAATTTACCCATAGCAAGCAGCGCCGAGTTAATTAGCCTCTTTAGTTAACAATCTAGCCTTTTTGCTAAACAGCAACATTCAACTAGCGGCCTGAATAATATTCAACTAATACCTCTAATTAGTTTAGTTTACGACGGGCAAGAATGATGTGATTATTCAAATCATGAAATCTCCCCGAAGAGGTTCAACAGTCCTTTGATGTTGCAAGCAACTTCGGGGGGCGATCCCGGTGTGTCGATGTTTAGCCCTGTATGCAGCAACCTCCAGACACATGAGCCGCCGTTTCTTCCTCCTCTGAATAGGGGGCTATCTGTAACAAAGTATCTCTGTCTGTATCTGTAATCTAAGAGCCATGTCCTGTGATAGCACTTATTACTACAGTGGACACCTGGTAATCCTGCCCTGTCTAATCCGGCACCCCCTGCAATCCGACATGGTCAATTATTTATTATTGAATATTTTTTGACAATCTAAGCTAATGCATGATTGAACAAGTTATAACTTGTACGCCCCACCACTATTGTGCTCGACGCGTAGGGTATTGTTTTGATTCTGATTGAAAAATTTGAATCTGAAAATAGTTGAAAGATCATAAATTTCCTCAAAAAGCGTTATTGCTTCTGGATAACGCTCTTAAATTGATTGATTCATAATTTTTGATTATTTTAGTATGTACATTTGTTTGTATACAATTATATCCTAACATAATATTATTACATATTTTCGTAAGTTCTATAGCTTTAATGACGTTAATTTTATAATAAAACAAAAGCTCTCTATTGTGTAATTTAATTTACTAAATTTTACATACATAATAATAATAATAATATCCTCCAGACCGAATTTGTCTGCCTCAACGGAGACTAGCCATCGGCGCAGGACAGGATTATAGTGCCCAAGTGTATGCGCAAGCACAGGTGCACTCTCTATTCCATCACTCTCCTACTCCGATGGGACGGTAAACCAACACGACCGTAGAGAGATCAGGCACTGGACCAACGGCTTTACGTGCCTTCCGAAGCACGGAGGTGATATACCACCAACTTCCTGACTCCGGGCAGCTATTGAGAATTTCTTGACGGAAAAACTCAATAATTAATTTTTTTGCCTGACCCGGGATTTGAACCCAGGACCTCATGATCAGTAGTCGCGCCACTACAACCACTAGACCAACGAGGTCAGTCTTGACATACGTAGTGAAGTATGATTTGTACTTCAGAATACATATACATATATAACATAATATAAAATCTATCATTGCATCTGTAAATTGTTGGATTACAAGGTACTCTTTTGTAAAAAAATCCGGACTATAGGAGTCTTAGGCAGTACTCTATTATCTGACAACTTTGATAGTCCGACACTGCCCTGCAAAATGTTCATCGGATTACCGGGAGTCCACTGTATCCTGATCTCTGACTTGTTCAGTGTCATTAGAACCTTGGTTAGACAACTGTTTATTTCAGGCAGGGCCTTCCTAGCTTGTCTACAGTCTACTAGATTTTTCCAAAGTTGATCATGTAAATTATTGAAGTTCATATGTGAACCAGTGAACGAACAAAACCAAAGACAATGGGTATTATTGGTTCAGACCCTATAGTGGTCAGAGCCAATCCCCTTCTGGCCAGTTCATCTGCTACATCTTTGCCTCTGAATCCACTGTATCTCTTAATCCATTGAAGAGTCACATTGTTGTGCTTACATACCTCATTTAATTGTTGATGGCATTCATATATTAGTCCCGAGTGCAACACATTAAAACTCAGAGCTTGTAGTACTGCCATACTGTCGGTCAGTATTCTGTTGGAGAAGTCTTTTACCTTCCTAGCATCTATTGCTATGAGCGGTTAGATGATATCCTTACATTCCGCCTTAAAGACAGTGTTATGGGTACCCAGCAGTGTACATATGTGGATATTAAGGTCTTCAGAGAAAGTTCCAGATCCTACACCTTCATTTGATTTAGAACCATCCATGAAAACTATAATCTCTTTTGGGCTTAATCGCTCCGGCTGGTCGGTTTCATTTAATTATATCTTATACTTCTTATCAAATACAAATTGTTTTGGGATCTTATCGTAGTTCGCTTGTAAGATAGGAATTTTTGAGTAAATTCTATCAATTATACCTGTATGAGGGACTCTATTCTTACTTAAAGGTCTTAGTCTTAGGGTCTTGAGTCTAATGGCAGCTAAAGTTGATTCTATTTGTATGTGTAGATGAAGAGGGATTAGCTCCAGTATAGCCTCTAAAGCTGCTGTTGGTGTAGTTCTTATGCAACCTGTGGCAGCCATACATGCCAATCTCTGGTAACGCTGAAACTTTTTTTATAGTGGGGGCTTCATTAGTTTTGGTCCACCATACCAGAGAGCCATATGTGATCATGGGCCGAATTACAGTTTTGTACAGTTATAGTATAATTTTTGGCGTCAAACTCCATCGTTTGCCAATCAGTTGAGTTTACTGTCCAAGGTAAGACCTAAGTATTCTATCTCAGAGGATGGCTGGAGTTTTGTGCTGAAAAGACTTGGGAGCCGTTTTGTTTGGATTAACAGTTAGATCATATTTCCTGCACCATCTCTCTACTATATGGAGAGCCAGATGGAGCCATTGCTCTTATTAATAGATGGTAAAAACTGACTGACACCTGAGATTTTTAGTGAGATTGAGAGGTTCTACAGGCAGCTGTACACGCCATAGTTGGAGCCACTCGCAAGTGTGAGTAACGATCCAAGAGCAAGTCTTATCCGACACTATTCCGATGATATCCCAGACGTCACGTCTGAGCGAGATTAGAATGGCTCTTCAGCACCTTAAAAACGCAGGGCCCCAGGCGAGGATGGAATTACAGCGGAGCTTCTGAAAGCGGGTGGAACACCAGTACTTAAAGTCCTTCAGAAGCTCTTTAATTCCGTCTTCCATGGTGGCACTACTCCGGAGGCGTGTAGCAGAAGTGCGGTGGTCTTGTTCTTCAAGAAAGGTGACAACGCTCTCTTTCGCGTCTACGTGCTGTTTCCGAGAGTAATTACGAATCGACTCGCACGTAGACTCGACGACTTCCAGCCTCCCGAACAAGCCGGCTTCCGAAAAGGCATCAATACCATAGATCACATACATACCCTGCGGCAGATTGTACTGAAGACCGAAGAGTACAATCTGTCACTTTGCCTGGCGTATGTGGACTATGAGAAAGCCTTTGATTCCGTCGAAATTTGGGCGGTCGGTATATCGAAGTGCTGAAGTATTTGTACAGTAGGGCTACGATGGCCACATCCGAGTACAGAACCAGAGTTCGAAACCTATCCAACTGCAGAGAGGTGTAGGACAGGGTGACGTTATATCCCCGAATCGCTTCACCGCTGCATTGGAAGACGTTTTCAAGCTACTAGAGTGGAAAGGATACAGTATTAACATCAATGGCGAGTACATCACTCACCTTCGATTTGCCGACGATATAGTCCTTATGGCAGAATCGCTGGAGGCCTTAAGCACTATGCTCAATGACCACAATGGTGTCTCCCAACGGATAGGTCTTAAGATGAACATGGACAAAACAAAGATCATGTTTAATGTCTATGTCACACCTATGCCGGTAGTTGTTGGGAGCACTATGCTCGAAGTTGTTGACGAATATGTTTACCTCAGACAAATAGTCCGACTAGGTAAGTCCAACTTCGACCGAGAGATCAATCGACGGATTTAACTCATGTGGACAGCGTTCGGAAAATTACGACACATCTTCTCGTCAGGTATACCTCAAACTCTGAAAACTAATCTGGTTTTCAGAGTTTGAGGTATACCTGACAACCAGTGTACAACCAGTGTGTGTTGCCAGTGATGACTTACGGATCTGAGACGTGGTCCTTCACTGCTGGCCGTTTGTGGACGCTCAAGGTCGCTCAACAAGCTATGGAAAGGGCTATGCTCGTGGTTTCTCTGCGTGATAAGCTCAGAAAGAAAATATCCGCAGTCGCACAATGCACACGGGCGGCATGGTATCCGGCAGCGGCCTAAACTTTTCACTAAACTGTTTATTTTTACCGCCACTTTTTTATTTAGCGATAGCGATACTGAATGAAATAAATATTATTGCACATCAGTTAAAAAATTATTAGAATCCTAAATTTTTAAATTTACAAAGTGTCCGCCATGTTGTTGAATACACAAATTACATCGCCGCGCAATGTTGTCTCGAAGTCTGCTTAACAAATTTCGTTCATTACACAATAAAATCATGTCTATACTCTACCGCACTGTTAAAATGCTGTTGTCTTGGTATTTTGTTAAAAAAACACACGCGTACACACAAGAGTCAAGAAGTGTCAATATCACGCTAAAAATAATAAAAATAAACTCAAAACTCATTACACACACACACACACACACACACACACACACACACACACACACACACACACACACACACACAAAGTCAATTGGCTAATAAGTGTCCATTTCACCGTAAGAAAATTGTTGAACTATTTGTATTTATCTTATTTAAAATAAATCACTTGAAACAATGCGCACACACACTATCCCGGAAGATTCGTGGTGAACTGAAAGCGAAACTTCCAACTTCCAAAATCGGGAAAGTAATAATACCCTACGACATAGCCGTGCGCGCAAGTGCGCCGTCGCCTTTGAAGGGCGCCGCCAAAAGACATCGCTGTCGACGAACATAGTCTCACATCGTGATAGTTTGCACTGTGTGGCAACGTCGCTTTTTAATGTTCAATTATTCAAGTTCATTGAAACATTGACCAGTGACCTAATTCTACAGAGAGTTCAAATTAGCTCAAATTTAAAACGCTGCTTTTTGACCTAATTACTGGATCGATTTCGTTTATTTTTTGTATATCGTCAGCAAAGACGATAACAGGTATGTGGTTTCATTTATTGCTTATGTGGTACCCATTCCGTATATTTTTTAAATGTGGTGTCATCCGACCATAAAATTAATTTACAACTGGAGTTCTTTAAAAAAATCCATAATTTAACAACAATCTTGCAAGTGATATACTGGAATCCCTATTAAATGCGCCAACTTTTAAAGTTACAGTCATTCACATACTGGGCAAAGTATCAATTTTAAATACTTAGTTCGGAAAAATATTACATGTCCTTCTGGACTGGAGCAGTTGGCTGTAAATTTTAAGCAACAGTTTTCAGAAGCATTATTCAGGATTACATAATAAAAAGAAAATTTTAAAAAAGTTGAAATTTGTAGCAACAGGAGTTAAAAGTCCGTCACAGGATTGTAGATTTTAAAATATATAGAAAATATTTTTTTTATATTTTTCTGTTAACTATTATGACTTGAACTATCGCCTGATTCCGGCTTGACGTCGACTTCTGGGACAGCCTGTATATGAACACTTTAATTCTTAAAATATTGCGTCTTTCATGGACAGGAAATTTTGAGTTGTTATCGGTGAGAAACTGTTACCCATCTGTTATTTTATTTCCCGTAGCCTCTTACGAAAAATATGGGTTGGCGGCACATGACATGTAAATGTATCGCATATTGGGTTTTGTTATGAGGCCACCATATGGTAATCATCATATAAACCATACAAATCAAAGAGTGTTATGAAAATAGATATACTGTTTACTATTTTAAAAACTAAGTTTGTAAATTAGTAATCAGGTCCATTCTATACTTGTATATTCTTTTCTACATTAACTTTTGTTCTAATATCATATTCTTTAATTTTCAGGTTAAGAGAAAAACACCAATGGTACCTTATGATGCTGATGCAAGGACTGTCTATGTGGAATCTATACCAGTGAAAGCAACACAAGAATGGTTAGAAAGGGTTTTCTCTGACTATGGCCGTGTTGCATACATTTCATTGCCAAAATTCAAAAATTCACAACAAATAAAAGTAAATAGTTTATTATGTCTCACATGTAAATATAATTGAATAATATCGAAATAGCTGCTTAATATTGAGCCGAGGAGATTATTTGCATGCCATTAAGCCATAAATAACTAATTTAAAAAAAATTGTCTGTCCATGCTAATCTTTGGAATGGCTGAACCAATTGTAATGAAATTTCACAAACAGATAGGGTGCAATACCAGGAGAGGAGTTGACATTCTCACAAAAACTGCATTTTAATTATCTTAAATCTAAAAAACGCCAGATTATTAAATCTAACCCAGAGGAAACTGGGGTGTTTTGTTTAGAATAGGGTGACAAACAAGCACACAGTCCACCTGGCGGTAAGTGGTTGTTGCGGCCCATAGACATCTACATCTATCTTCGATTACGAATCAAAATGCAGATGCGTTGTCACCCGTGAGGACTAAGACGGTATGCCTCTATGTACCCATTTTTCGAACTTTTCCAATTTGTTTCAAGTGAATTAAAATTGTTTTATCCTGCCTCTAACTTTAACGTAGTTTGCGATAGATCCGCTTCCAAGATCAGTTTTAACTCTTCATTGTGAATTAGGGTTTCCGAACATCCACGAGGTTTGTTTTGTAATTAAAAATTTCCAGAACGAAAACCAAAAACGTACCGTGTTTTCTTTTACAGTAGCTTCCACATAGACATAATTAATCCTTCGAGCTGTTTCTGCAGCGCTGGTGCCACGGTGGTCCATTTAATATGTAAGGACCTAATGTTATTATTGACGTATTATAACGAAGATGCTAGCCCGTTTCCTGTTTCAGTTTTCCTCTGCCACCTCTTACGACACCCAACACCAACACCAAATGACTACCCTACCAACCTTGTTGGTATGGGGTTGTACCAACCTTGTTGGTATGGGAGTCAATTGTTTTTTGCCCCCACTACATAACACATTATATCCTTAAAAACTTTAAATTTTATTTAAAATGTATGTTATTTTGTTATGAGGATATTATAGTTATTCTATTATACGTGGTTTTCTATGATACGTGTTAATCTATGATACATTGTAGAGCCAGGCTACAGCTATATTATTGTTGTAGCGCGTATAGGTTGGGTCGACCGGGGAAGGACCACGCTCGCACAGAATACCAGCGTAAAATAGTAGCTTAATACTGCTGTGTTTCGTTTATTGAGTCTATAGATCCGATGACGATAAGGCATTCTATCCTTAGTTCTCAGGGGTGACAACGCATCTGCGTTTTGATTCTTAATCGTGGATAAATATAGATGTCTATGGGCAACGGCATCCACTTACCATCAGGTGGACTGTGTGCTCGTTTGTCACCCTTATTCTATAAAAAATATTTTCAGATAGAAAAAAAAGAAAATACCTCCTCACATTTTACAATCTCACTTTAAAAAGAGAGAAAGAGAAGAGTTGAAGTAGATTTAAGATTTTTTTAACTAACATGAAATCTGAGGCGATTTGCGTTGTACTGTTTTTTATATTTATATTTAGTTTAATTAAAAAAAAAACATATGTAGCAGTATAACTTGCGATGATAGTTACAAAAACGTGTTCCACTTAATTATATAGTGTAGTGGCAGAGTAAGAATATCCACTACCTGATATCGTCCTGTGGGCGTCGTAAGAGAGACAGAGGGTAACAAACCAGGAGATGGGCAGCAGCATCTTTCTAATAACAACTAAAAAAATAATAAAATGTGTTCGCTAACCCGCCTGCCAACATGGCGTCTGTGGCAAATATCCCCCTATGAAGTAATGTATGGGGAGGGCTATGTTCAGCAGTGGATCTTAAAATAAAAAAGTAAAGTTACAGCCTATATACGTCCCACTGCTGGGCACAGGCCTCCCCTCATTTCTGAGAGGGTTTTCGGGCAAGGAAGTGTCCGCCGCGCTGCCACAATGCGTGTTGGCGAACTTTACACATCTTCGAAATATTTTTTTCTTATTCTTCAGACATGCAGGTTTCCTCACGATGTTTTCCCTCACCGCCGAGCACGTGGTATATAAGCACTTAAAATTGCAATTAACGATTTCATTGGTGCCGGCGGGGACCGAACCCGGGTTACTCGCGTTCTGTTATATTTACAGCGAGCGATAACCATCTGAGCTACCACGGCTCTCATCAGTGCTCTCAGCAGTGGATCTTGATAGGCTGTAACTTAATTATATTTTCTTAAAATAATCAAAATAGAAAACTACAAAACTGGCATGTTATGAGCCCAATCCACATTTAATTTTACCCTAAATTAATGTTACTTATATACTTTTACTTGATTAATAATTTTAATAAAGTATCTAATAATATATATTATGTACGATTTTTTTATAAAAGCGATATAAGCACTTATCTCTCGAAATGTTGTGTCAGGAAGTAGCTGAATAACGAATTATACATAATTTTTGACTTATAACATTTTGTAGTGATTTGAACAAACTGTTAAAGAAAATAACTCATTTTTATAATTAATATGCATAGAAGAATAACACAATACCATTTAATTTGCAGGGCTTTGGTTTTATAGAATTTGAAAAACCACAAGAAGCCCAGAAATGCATTAATGCATTTACAAAAATGGGCTGTAAGTTGCCCACATGCATGCCTCCCGAAGAACTTTCCTCCATAAAAATGTTCTCTGTGGACAATCCGCCGGAAGACACCAATGAAATCAAGGAAGAATATGAACCACCAAAAAAGAGAAACAAGAAGGCAAAAGATAAAAAGAAGAATTTAGAACTCAAACTTGATCATGACTCTGATACTGAGAAAATAGTGGAGACACCTACACCTAGTGTGAGTTTCTCACTCATATATTACTTTCATTATGTTTTATCTTAAATGAATCTTGTATTATAATATATTAATCCTAAGGAAACTATTGATGGCGGGGTGCGGATGAGGATATGCTCTTCCTCAAATTAATGCATCTGGCATCAATTTAAATCACAACTATATCACCACAGGCAATCATTACAGTCCACACATTGGATAAATAATAAAGAAACGTTCACTAAATCAAACATTATTTCGAATAGCCTACCTTTATTAGACCATTGATTGTGGACCTATTGCTCCACCTTCTCCCTCAGCCATTCTCATATAAGCTATAGCTATAGCCTATGTTAATATTAATTATAGTTTTTCTTTTCCGATATAACTTATACAAGTCACTAAAAAAACTAATGCCTCCTTTGCTTCCGTTATACGGTCACCTTCTATTCCGCTACCATTCTCAACATGCCCGTGCAGTTTTACTCCGTCCCATTCTATACGACGTCTTATTGCCATTTCATCTATCACTAGACCAGCTATGATTGGATATTTTATTGAATTTGACTTTGTGTTACGGGCTTTGAAGGATTCATCTGTGAAGCCTGGTTCTCCTTTTACACTTGTGTACCATCTTCGTAAAGTACGTACATGAGGCAAGCATGTTTTAAATGTATCTCTTACGTAATTATACGCTTTGGGCGAATAGTAATGTAAGGTAAGTGCAAATGTTCGGAGAGCTGGGAAACGCTGTTTTGTAATTCCACCGGACTTTTCTTTTGATATGTACCGACCAATCAATTCTTCCACCTACAAAATAAAATAAAAATTGTTTACCAAATTCATTCAAAAAATATATTGAGATGTAAAAACCGAAGGAATCCCTTAACATACATACAAAAAATTAAATAATAATAAAAATTCGGTTTAAAGAGTTACCTGTAAATTTGTGCCTCTCAATTACTTAACTGTTCTTCTTTCAGTGAAAACTTTTTTCTAAGTCATTTATTATATCTGCCATTTATGTATTTTTTTCTTTAATCGCCGATTTTGTGCTTGTATTCTTTTAATTTGATTTCTTTGGTGTTTTATGATATTTTCTTTAGAAGATACTATTCGTGTTAATCTTCTTTTTCTCGGCGTTGACGCATTGAAGTCAATGAAGGAAGGAACACTGGACTGAATTTTTTTTACATAGTCCGTTGTTACCTGTATTGCTATACTAGAACACTCCTCCATTAATACTGAAGAATTAGTCGGTACTGGGTCCATATCCTTAATTGGTTGATTAACACTCTCTTCCATTAATACTGTTGAAGAGTTTAACGGTACTGGATCTACATCCCTTATTGTTTGACTAGCACTCTCTTCCATTACCGTTACCGTTGAAGAAGTTGTCAGTATTGGATCTACAATTTCCTAAAATAAAACAAGATAATAAGATCTACAGTGCTATATATTAAACTAAAATAATAGTTTAACTACGAAAGATAAACGAAGTTTGTTGATTGGTAATAAAAGTGAAACTCAGCAAAATAATGTGTTAGTTAGGTACCATCTATAACTAACCTGAACTTTGGCACGTTTGTTTATTATTTCATTGTGTGTGTTCTTCTGAGTACGTTTTCGTGGTGACAAAGTAGAATCTTTTGTATCATTAACCTAAAAAATATTGTCAACAATATGTGAACATATTTACAGTTATGAACAAAATATAACTTTATAAAATAGTATAAACATACAATGTACACAACTTGTACATGTGGTACTGCACCGTTATAAATATCTCTTCTTAGAATTTTTGACCTCGAAGTCATCTTCATTAAAGTGTTGTGAACAAATGGTACTTGATTTAGTCGGAATCCAGTCTTTACGAGCAGTAACTTCGATCCACTGTTTCCGTATACCTGGCTTTTTAGGAAAACTGAAATGTTATAGGAAACAAATGCCTTATATGTATATGCTTTAGTATATACTTTAGTCTTTTTTTTAATCCAAAATGAATCCAAAATCCAAGTAACAAGGTTTGATTGATGGCCGCGCGAAGTAAAAAAGGCGCCACTTTCCGGCATTCCCTTTTACCTAAGAATCCGAATCTATAAAGATATCGATAAAATGCTTAGCGTAATGATCAATGCCATTAATAATTATTTTTATAAAAAAAGATAATGAAGATTACTACCCAAAAGAAATTGAAACTTATCGATATGTCCCAGAACACGAATATAAAAATGTATGCTACTTTGCCTGCAAGAATTTTTTATTAATAACATTTAAGTACTAAAAACCGTAAATTTCAGAAGTTTTTTCACTTACCGATGAAAAGAAATTCCTCCTTTGGCTACACTCGACACTTCACTTCTTGCTTTACAACTAATAACAGCACAAGTAGGCATTTTTCGTCAAAATTAGTCGCCGCGTTTCACTTGCGCACGGTGAGAGCGTTCGTGAGTGACTTATGAGCGCGATCACGTGTCTCGGGATTTATATGACCGTTCGGGCAAATCAGTGGCATGCGTGCCCCGCCCACAATGCCATTCTATGTTTTTCTGTTTTCTATGATATTGAACATAAGATGTTAGTTCAATTCTGAAAGTTAAGATTTTATTTTAAGATATGCATTGTGAGGGCCAAATTCTATGATATCCATAATGGTATTCAATTTACTAAAATTGATTTAATAATCACTATATCAATAAAATATAATTTAAAACAGGTTGATAATTAAAAAAAATCCTTTGCAAAGTATTAATTTACCATCATATGGCAAGAATTTTGCATTTTTTAAATCAAACTACAGTAGGTACGGTATGTGTTTAATACTGAAATGACTTGTCAATATATTAATTATGTTAGTACTTGGATGACCAAGCTTTGCTCGGTATTTTTTTTGTTTTTTTTTTTGGAAATTATATTTAGATACAAATTACATACTGATAAAGTATGAATAATATTTTTCGATCTTACCGACATAATGAAAAAAACTGAACTGGTTATTTAAATAAAAAATCATGAGAGCAATTAGTTTAATTTAATTATTTGTGTCTTTAAAAAATACTAAAGAAGGCTCAAAATAAAAAGGGAAAGGGAACTTGAAAAAATCTTACCAATGACATCATGGCTCAAACCGAGGGTACCACGACTTCGGGACCACTCGATATCCCATTTGAGCTATTATTACTAAAGATGGGCGAAACTGTTATATTTTTCTAATTCGTTATGTTGTTGTAATATATTTTTCTAACTGTTGTTTTAAACTGTTATAATATATTATAACAGTTTCAAATATTACATTGTACACGCGGTTAGTTCAGTTCAGTCGTCGGCTGTGTTCGCGTTTTGTTGTATGTTGTTATAACGATTATAAATATTACGATGAAAGATTATTAACGATTATAAATATTAGACGATTATAAGTATTATATGAAGACAAAAAATATTTTTAAGTTGTATCAGCATCAATTGAGTGTTTCGTGTTTTAAAGAGAATCATTTAAAATATTTATGTTAAGTTCAATGAACTTCCCTTCCTACTTTTTATAGGCTTAGGGATGTCTGAATGTATGCTAAGCTGTGTAATTATTGTATCTGTTATAATTATTTACTCATATTTTCAAAAAAATACTTTTTAAATAAATAATTAATTTTTAAAAGAAATAAATAACTCATTCAGGCGTAGTTAGCTCATTGATGTTATGTCATTTTGATTGAATTTTTACATTATTTACACTGTGGTCAAAGTTTTAGTTATCTACAATTATTTACATTTTTTTCAGTTACTATTCAAAAATATTATTTGGTTTACTTTTGACGACGTACGCAAAACCTTTTGCGTCTATCCGATATTAAATCCGAACGACAAAACTCTTCATACACTCCTACGTGTCTTTGCTTAAGGTGAAGCCTTTAAATTTGTAATTGTACTTTAAAAAAAAATTGTTTTGCAATAATTGCACACTGGTTTTTTTTCGTCCACACTTTGGACTATAAAATAGATCCAAATGGCTGCGCTACGCTGGCGTGACATTATTATGCACTTTTACATACAACACGCTAAATCCTATCTATATTACACTAAATATTTAAAATTACTTTAGGAATAAAACTTAACGAAAAATAAACAAAAACAACAATAGCTTTTTCACGTAATATGGGGACCTGCTATCAAAACATTACGTATATAATTTAACAGATAACAGTGTCATTGTCATCTCAGCTAGACAGCTAACGGAACACTAAACTGATATATTATATATTACAACAGCCGAATTAAATAACAGGCACAACAGGCAACTAATGAAGGAAATAATATATTTTTGTTTACCGTTATAATTTGGTGTTAGTAAAATAAGCTCTTATTAAGTTAGCTTAGAGTTTAAATTAGTGTAAGCTATACGCAATCCTTGTGGCCCAATGAATGTAGGTAGTATTTTATTGACTCCTATTGTCTCGGCCGACGGTTGGACCGTAAACGTAAACAGATGACGCTTTCTAACGATAATGAATATAATATTATAACAGTCAATGGGTCATTATTCTAATGTGTTGTAAGATTAGAAATATATAATGAAATATATTATCTGTTGTATGTTATAACGCCCAACTTTAACCAAAATTTATCTTCGTATTCTAATGATATTGTAGCAGTTTTTATTGCCTGAAAACACGGATAAAACGACATTTTCTAAGAACGAATCCTAGCTAGATCGATTTATTGCCCCCGAAACCCCCGCAGACTAAATTGTTGGAGCCGTTTCCGAGATTCCGATTATATATTTACAAGAATTGCTCGTTTAGAGGTATTATATTTCAACATAGTATACTTTTATAACAAATACTATTATCAATGAAGACGTTAGAATTTAATAATATGTAGAATGATTGATAATAACAGGAGTGGCTAATTTCTTACGTTGTATTTATTTGCAGGAAGAAAAGAAAAGTATAACAACACCTACAGAGGTAAATATAATATTTTCATTGGATTTTTTTGTAGGTAAAATATATGAACATGCAGCTCACCTGATGGTAAGTGAACACAAATCAAATCCGCAGCACCAGAAGAATTACAGGTGTGTTGCTGGCCTTTTAGAATGAATAAAGCTATTGTCTTAAACATCCATGTCCAACGGCCTGAAAAATTGTTGGCGAAATTGCTATAAAAACGCTTGTTAGTGTATTAACTAATCATGTCCTAAATTTCTGTTAATTTTAGTGTTGAATATCTGTTGGCTTTACATATTTGCTTCTCATTAGGAATGTAAGATAACAGATGCTGAATCCAAAGATGAAATGACTAGTCAAGATGAATCTAAGAATGAACAAGAGTCACCTCGAAAGAAGAAGAAGGCAAAGAAGCGAAAGAAAAAGGAAGGTTCCAAAGATAAAAACAAGTTGAATAAAAGTGAGGTTCAGAATGGTGCTTTATGTGGCTTGCAAGTCCTGCCCAAGACGGAATGGAAAGCACTCAGAAACAAATACCTAAACTTACAAAGGAAAAATATGAAAGAAATAAAAGCGAGGCTTTATAATAAGACGCATGTGTATTCAGCTATACCAGCCACAGCCGCTCCATCCCTGGAGCCTGAACCAGGTATTTATTGTTACTGATGTATATCTTAATATATAACGTGCTTGTTTTAATAATGACGGGAAAATACACTGCTTAAAACAAATATTAACTAAGTGACAAATAATAGGGACCACTTCATTTTTAGCAAGCTCGAGGAATTTCGTTGGAATATTATCATATCCGGGTGCACTGTCTTATTTGAGGCTCATAAGTATATCATGTACCTCTGTTGTATCAGTGTCTAAAAGCACAAACTATTTGGACTGTGTACGATTAGTGTCTAAATGATTATTTGTTTTTGTATTAATTTTTAAAAGATTATCCGCTAGAGACTTGCCCGTGTTAGCAAAAAAGTTATTGATATAATTAACTGATTCCTTACGGGATGGCTTTATATTTAACATAATTGTATTATCGATATTTGAGCTATTTAAATGGGCTATACTTTTTATGTTGTTCCAAAGATTCTTTGAGTTTTTAGATGAAATTGCTAGTTGTTGTGTTTCATATTTGCGTTTTAATTTTTAAGTAAATTATTACAATAATTTCGATATCTTTATTTTTAATTTTTAGAACTTCATTATTATTATATATCACGAGGATTGTTTTGCATTTTATTTCTATTCCTAATACAGCGTAAAATTCCAGGAATGATCCAAGGTTTCATGACACATTTGCTTTTGGGTACTTGAATTTCAATAGTGTTATCTTGTAATGACTCGGTTATTTAGTTTATGATCATTTCTATCACGAAATTTGGGTTATCACAAAACAATATTTCTGAGAGGTTTTTATCAATTAAACTATTAAGTACCTTTTAAAAATTAGTCCGTAATTTGATATTTACAAATTTTTTTTTGAGCTTTATATTTGACAAGGTTAGCAATATAATAGAATGTTCAGTGACAGTGGTATTTAAAACGGCATTTTGAGCATTTTTTTAAATTCTTTCTAATTTAAGCATAAAATGATCTAAGCAATTAACACCTCTTTTTGGCAAGTAGTGACCAACGAGTAAGTCATGCATGTTCATCATATTAAGATATTGAAACCTATTGTTGCGCTCATAATTCTGCTCTATACTTTTAGGAATTATATTTATATTTAAATCACCAGTTACTACAATACGTTTATGTGATTTAATAATTTCTAAGTGTAGCTTTAGAGAGTTAATAAAGTTGTCAGCATTATTATTAGAGGGTGAGCGATATATACCTAAAATGGTAGTATCGTGAGTATCAATCTGTAAACATGAAGCGTGCTCAAGTCTTATTTCTTTGACATTTCCTTTAACACCTTTTCTCACATAAACGACCACTCCATCACTTTGATTGTGATGAAAATTTGTAGCGAAATATGAATAGTTTGCCATATTTGGGATTATTTTGTTGTCCGTAAGCCAACATTCTGTTAATACAATAATATCTAGATCAAAATTTAAGCGTGTGAGGGTCCAGTGTAGATCTTCAATATTACTGTAAACACTTGTAATATTTTGAGAAATAATTGTTAAATCACTATTTTTTATGCAAATATTTTTGGTATATCCTATACATCACAGTGAACACTCGCATCATCTACATTCTCGTAAAAGATATATATGCGAGTGTAACTTAGATCGAGTTTGAGAGGTCTGTCACAGTTTTTAAGTTGCCAATGGACAATCAGTTCACAATTTATGATAAGTGAAAAAAAAAAAGATTTCGGAGCTACTAATTTACGAGGATTAAAGTTTGCAAAATGAAATAAGTTATCAATTACGTTAGGTTGTATGTAAGTGTATATGAATTTTAGATAAGTAGTTAACAATAACATATAAGTATCGTGTGTTATTTGTATGCAAATTATGAAAATAAGTGTGTATAGTATAACTGAAGTTTGTGTGACAATGAAATTGTTTTAATAGAGAAAAAAATAAAAAAATAATTAAACATTTCATGAAAATAAAGTATACAGAGAACATAATGAACATTTGTAGATACAAGAAAAAATTATTAATAGTATGTTTTTATATAATTCTTCCTTTTCTGTCCGAAGTCCTAGAGTGTCTTGTTCAACAACAATTAAATTCATTTTGCACAAGAAGTGACATCCTTAATTCACATCAATCTGGATTTAGGCCGGGACACAGTAGGACTACAGCATTATTAAAAATCACTGACGACATACGTTTCAAAATGGATAATCGCCAAGTCACAGTGACAGTGTTGCTGGAATTCAGCAATGCTTTCAATGATGTAAATGCACTCTACCTTATTTAATTAACTTTTCACTTATTTTTATTTCCTATTTAGGTTGTCTGGAATAAATTGCTGCATAGTAATAGGACCGCCTTTTGTTTAAAGGGTATTGTATATATACAAGGTGTAAGTGTAAACACCGTTGTCACTAAAACCATAGATAGTTGGCTTTAATATAAAAATATTAATCCGAAATTTAAAAAAACGCTATTTTCTTTCATAAAATATAAAAAGTTTCTGTCCGACACCGTCCGTAAATTCATGGATACCCTATGCGCCCGAGTGACGTAATTACTGTAAAGATCACCGCCCGCCTTAGCTATCTACACAACATTCCAATAAAAACACAATAGGTACACATAAACTGTGATGTAACTTTTCCTTCACATCCTGGCTTAGGACAGGCGAAAATTGAGGAATTAAGGTAAAATTGAGATTTTACTAAATAAATAAAATGTAAATTTTTCATTGAATTATATAACCAAAACCTGTGTACGTTTTACCATCTTACCTATGGCTGCTGTCAAAGTAGCAGCATAATAACGTTACTTGCCGTGACATGCAGGAGAGGTACTTGTTTGTGCTTCCAATTTATAGAGTAACAGAGTGCTCCATTCTGTCGAACGCCTTCTCTATGTCGAGAAAGACGCCCAGCGATGTGCGGCCGGGCATAAACGCAATTATTTATGGGCAAATTAAACCACTTATGATCAGGAGCTATGTGTGCTCATTTATCGCCTTTACTTGTTCAAAAAAGACCATGGGCACCAAACCCAGTCACAGCGTTCAACAGCACGATTAGCATTTCTTTCAACACTAAAATGGATGGAGATCTAAACATTTTTGTTCCTTTTATTTTCACTTAACTTATTTTTCCATTCATACCCACTTGAATCTGAAATAGTTTTTGCACTAACTAGTAATAAATAATTAATTACAGCAATAAAAGCTCAAGAGATGGAAAGCAGTAAATCGGTAATACCATTGGAGAGAATACCAGGAGTGTTTGTAGAGGAAGTATTGCCTGAACCGTGTCTTGATGTGAGGCTCACTAAAAGAACTGTAAGTCATCATAGCTCTTGTCAGATTATATATCTCTTGTATGTTTATAGCTATAACATAGACGGTTCCGAGTTCAAAGGTTGACCAAAACTGGTTAAAAATATAGTTTTCAATTCATAAATAAACAAGTAGTATCGAGTTTTTTTAATACTGCATTTTTCTTATTTGGCGTAGACATAGAATAGTCTTTTTTGGGCCTTTTATTTTCAAATATACGACGACTCGGTAGTGAGGTAGACAAAATTTTGAAATTATATTTTGTAGTAATGATCATATTGTGTCTAAAATGATTATATTATTATTCATACATTTTGTTTTGCTATATTGCCGCCTGCTGTATTTATGTCTTATTCTTTACAGATTAAAAGTAACATTCATGTCCAACATGTGGAAGTTAAAGAGGGACAATCAGAGGTCATCATTCGCTTTGACTCAGCTAAAGCTGCAGAAGAAGTAAGTTTGTTTTAAATGTATTCGTTTATTTATTTATTTCTAAAACTTTATAGTATACTTTATAGTTCACAAAAGGTCAATGGCGAAAAAATTATTGGTGGAATTATTAAGTGTCTAGTTATGTCACCGTTACAGAAATCAAAAAAATTATTTATTATGTTTTATCGAATCAAGTTTATATGTCCTATCGAATTCTGAAAAAAATACCTAATTTAAAACTAAATTGACTAGTTGTTGTGGCAAACTGTTGACGGAATTATTAGGCGTATTGATATCTTGATGGTACTTGTCACATCACGATATCAATAAAATTATTTACTATGTATTATTTAATCAAGCTTATGGCCTATCGAAGTCTGGAAAAAATCATTATACATAACTTAGTTTTAAATTAACTAGTTGTTGTAGATGTTACGATTCGCCAATTAAGGCGGGCAAAGGTCCATATACTATACAGTTTAGTCTGATGTGTATTTTATTCACAAAACTCTTTTCAATATACTATTGCGTTATTTTAGGATTTCCTGTATGCTAGTAATTACTCTATATAAACATACTTGAAAGTTTTATTGACTAGTTGTTGTTGTTGTAACAATTTGCTAATTAAGGCAGGCAAAATTCTTATACCATACAGCTTAGTGTGATGTGAATTATGTTCTTACTGGGATATCTTTAATTCCTGACTTTTTACAGTAGTATGACAGAAGACAAAAATTGTTCTGGATTTCAAACTTTTTATTGTTACATATTTTTCATTTGTAGAGTGTAGATGAAAAAATAATGAATGATTCAACAAATAATTGCCTGGAAGTTCGCCATTGTCCTTTATTCAGTTGTAATGATCAATAGTGATTTATTAATAGAAGAATTAAAGTTATGTAAGTCACTTAATTTATAAAACAAAACAGAAATAAACTTAATTAATTCAACCATAATAAAAATAAATATTGCAATGTATAATTTTGTCCCCAAAGGTCAATTTATTTGTAAAAGTCGATTTTGAATAAAGTGAGAAAAACCCTGTAGCAGATACCCATTTATGGAAAATATTTTAAAACTCTCAAAATTTTTTAAAACTCTCAGACATTAAGGTTAATGTTTTCCTTCGCCGCCGAGTACATGGTAAATGTAATCCTAATTTAGTTGAACTAAAAATATTTAGCTTGGTATCTAATACCCAAGCTGTGAGAATCGACTAAGGTACCAAAAATGCTACTATATGTGTTAATTACGGCTGATCTCTCAACTTTAAAGGTGTGCTACTTCATGTACAAGGGTGGCAATCGTGAGGAAAACCTATCTGATGATAAGTTGAGTTGATTGATAGACATCTACATCTAGATCAAAATGCAAATATCTCCCCTGAGGAGTATGATGGAATGCCCTGTTAACATTTAAAAGTGTTTCAAATTCTTGGTTCTTACAATTTGAAATAAGTATAATTATAGATCGGGTATGTAATGCTTCTCCTTAGGAACTAAGGACTATAATATCTTTCACTTTTTCATTAGCCTGTAAACTGTCCACTACTGAACATTGGTCCCATTTATAGAGAGAATTTTCCATTTTAACCATACTTGGCTGGAGGGTTGGTGATTAAAACAGCTGAAATTTTACAAAAGACTTCTAATGGAATGTGCCATGCGGCAGCTTTTGCTGTTGCACGTATGGGCTGACTCAAACCGGGGTAATACCACGACCTCACAGAAGACTAGCGTGAAGTAATAACGGAGTTAAATAGAATACTGCTTCAGAAGAGTACCAGCACCCCTGATGATGGAGAATCCCTTACTGAGCATCCTCGCTCAAGCTACCCTAGTCTTCCTGAACGTGGGTGCTCAGGCTGCCCCGCGTATTCTACCTGCTTGGGGCAAACGGAGCAATAAGTCAAAAGCGCCCCCTGCCACGCTATTCGTTAATTTTTGCAACTGTCCACTACCATCTGTAACGGCGAAGCTAAAGGCCTGGGCTGACGCTTCGACGTTTCGGGATGCAAATACCAGCGCTGTTAAAAAGAAGTATAATTCATCAATCATCCAGCGCACAGCCGTTCGAATCGTCGACGATCAAGCTCTTTCCGATCGGCTTGACTCACTGGCACTGCGAAGAGATGTTGCATGTCTTTGCGCATTTTATCGCATTTACCACGGGGAGTGCTCTGAGGACTAATTGTTCGGAATAATTCCAGCCGCGCAATTTCACAGTCGCGATATGCTAAAACTCGCGCTACACTCCATACCATCTGGGTGACTGGCGGTCCACCACTGCGATTTAAAAGAAGTTTTCTTCCTCGCACCTTGTGGAATCGACTACCACCAGAGATTTTACCGGAACCGATACGACATAGGAACCTTCAAGAAAAGTGCTTACTCCGTTTTAAAAGGCCGGCAACGCATCTGCATTTCCCCTGGTGTAGTAGTTGTTCATAGGCGACGGTGGTTACTTACCGTCAGGTGAGCCCCATACTCGTTTGCCCACTCTCCCATAAAAAAGACGATTTTTCTGACAAAGCGATATCGGTTGATCGATTTTTCTACTACAGCAGCTTATTATGTAATAAGCTAAATTGAATTTTATATACTCTGCAGTACTGCACAAATTCGAACAATCGAGCGCGGGTGCTTTGCGGCACGGAGGAACAGGAGCAATGGGCGCGTGCTGAGGCGAGCCGAGCCGCGGGGCGGGCGCGCGGAGCGGGAGGGAGGGGAAAAGGGGGAGGGGGAGGCCAGGCGGAAGCTGAAGTCGCCAGCTCGCCCGCACTCGCGCCCGCCTCCCCGCAGCCCACGCACACGCACATACGCTTCGACGACTGATACAGCTCGCACTGACATTTCGCTTCGCATTGCGCACTAACTTCAAGTGTTTTGTGCAGGACGTCGATGAGAAATGAAACTAAAATACGTTTATATAAATAGTTTTTATTATTATTCAGATTTCATTAATTTTGTGTTGCGATTGCATTTTGTTGTATTTTCCTCACAATAAAATTATAATTTCAAATTGTGGTGTGTCATGAAAATTGACATTTAGAAAGCAAGATTGTCGGTAAACCCAATTCTATTCTGGTCCTGCGCGAATTTTATCAAATGAACCTAACAAAAATCCACCGCTGCCCAGAGACCTCTCTTTAGATTGCTTCATAAGAGGTATATTTGCTATAATTGGCACGCTTGGCAGGTCGGTAGGAAACCGCAGTTTTTTTTTGAAGTGATAACTGATCTTTAAAATCATTGTGATTAGTGAAACTTTATGAAACAAAAAAGCGACACTAAGAATAGACAAACATATACATCTATAGGATTTAGCGTCTCATTCTCACGTAGTTTTTTCTGAAGGTTATTATCGCTATTACCTATTAAGGCTATTACCGCGTGTGAAATGCACATGTTTTTTTTTTACTTAAGTTGTTATCAGAAAGATGCTGCTGCCCACATTCTATTTCGTTTTTTCTCTGTCGCCTCTTACGACAGCTATGGGATGACTTGTGTTAGTGGATCCTCCTGCGCCTCCACTACGCGTGTGTGTTAGTTATTAAGTACAATTGCCAAACTATTAAATTCTAAGCAGATTGGATATTCCATTATTTCAAATAAAGAAAATGTTGCATAGTTTCAGTCAACTGCTTTTTAGAATGGTTTTAATAATATGTATTTAGCTGTTTAACTATTAAGAAGGTATATTTGACTAAATGTTTTAAGATAAGTTCGTGCTGTATCGACAGAAATAAATATATCTCTTTCACAAAGTTATGTGCAGTTTTTTTTTATGTAAACCCATTCACATTATTATCTCTCCATCACAGCCTATCAAAAGTCAACTGCTGAACACAGGTCTAGATTGCCTCTTAGGGGTGGATCATGAAGGTTAGAGAACAGGAGAACGATCGCTGTAGAAAATAGTGTCCCAGATATGGACACCATAAGTGAGGCGCTGCGATCGCTAAGTTCGGTCAATAAAAGTCATTTTCAGTCAATTTTTCCGATCAGATGCTAAACCTCTTTCACATCCACGCACAATAAAATATTTCTCCATTTTTTAATGTTTCTTTTTGTCAAAAATCACGGAGCGTGAAAATTTTCTCACCAATCATTTTTCATTGGAGAAAATTTGAACATTATTCATCTAACTTCATCTACTTGTACTCATAAACAGCTAACTTCGCAGTCACTACTCACCGACGTCGCGCTGCATCAAATTCTACAATTTTCAAAGACAGGCGGGCTATGCTGTAGTACGTAATGATCGTTCTCCTGTTCTCTAACCTTCATGGGGTGACATAGTGACAACTATGTCAAACCATTGCCACTGGCAACCAACAGTTTTCTAATTTAGGTTTTTTTATTCTATGAATTTACATATCAGTTGCAGACGTAACAAAATATTTCCGTTATTATGCATAATCTTATAAATTATTATGTAATTTATACCTAAAATTGCCTTGTAAAAAAATATAGAAAATTAATGAGTTTGTAGCCCTTATTTCCTTCGAAACACCTGTTGGTGTATGAAGTATCGCAGCTGTAAACAACGCTTGCTACTTTTTACTAGGGAGATATTTCTGCCCATCTACTAGTTTGTTTCCCTCTGTCGCCTCTTGCGACGCCCACGGGACGATATAGGCCGTGATGAAGCTAAGGCTCCAAACTAGGGCACGCCCAAGATATGGTTTTGTTGTTTTTAATAGTTTTATAAAAATACACCAATCCTGATCTGTCTCCACTCTTCAGTTTCGTGTTCAGTGCTGTCGAAGACGTGTTTAACAAAGCACACAGAAGGCATACTACTGCTAGATAGATTGTATGACATATCAGCAATTGCATACCTTCGGTGGCTTTGAAAAAAGCCGTTTGGGTTTGCTTGAGCGACAGAAAAAGTTATTTACATACAATACTGTACATAAACAAAGTACAAGCAAACTATGTACAAAATTAAAAAAACAAATTATTTATATTCTAAATTGAATGGTCTCTCTTAATGAAAGATTTGATTACGTCCGCGTAAAATGTGAGTGAACGATTTAATTGTACCAATCTGTTTTTCAATTGCGATAATTAATAAGTCCGGAAGACTCTCTTGACCTTGTGTATTTTCTCAGTTTAAAGATTTTACCTTTTCCTCGCCGATTAACACTTCAAAACACTTCAATTCATCACAAGGAACACTATTATCCTCCATTTTCACTAAAAATCTTTAAAAAAGCATAAATTTTCAACTCGCAATATTCATTCGCTCAAGTAAACACACAGAGTAAACATTGAAATGTGAAGAGAACTTGCAAACGTATCGCCCACGCGCACGCGCACTCGAAACAACTTCAGAGTCCCAAAGTAACATTTTGCCACAGGTTAGAAAGGTAGCCATGACTAATTGCTCAAATCAACTCTTTGCTTTCATCAATTTTGACAGTCCATTGCGTGTTCGCTTTGAGACAGAGAGAACACGAATCAGTGTATTTCGAACTGAAAACAAACTGACAAGTGTTGAAGTTACATAATAAGGCTACAAGGTCAAGACCTGTGTAGAACAGAGGAGCGCGCGGGAAATTTGAAATAGTTTGAAACAGTTTACAAGTCATTTTACTAGTTGATATTATTGATTGAGCAGTTTGAAAGGGCAAGCCTGGCTTTTTGGCTTCTATGGGGGCTTCGTTACTTGGTATAGGGTAGTGGATATTCTTACCCGCCACTACACTGTACTTTATGGAAACTGAACGGATTTTTTTTTTCAAAAAAAAAAATAAAGGTAATGATTAGGCATCTGACACATGTGAGGCTAATATTTATATCATAGATTACTGTATATATACTAGAGAATTTATATTAATATACACTTAGTACCTACAGAGCGGTTTTATCGCTAATAGCGATTTATGCCGTACAGCATCTGGGTGCACCATTAGTACAGGCTGCAGAAGAGAAAAAAAACACAATTTAAACACCGCCGAGTTTAAAACTTAATGAAAGTACTCGGGAAATAATTCTACCCTTCAGAACGAATTACGGCCGTTGTTGCCTCTGACCAGTCTTAACGGAGACAGTGTATAGGCGCAAGACGAAGAGTGAGTTCACACGGCGCGTTGCGTTGCGCCCTAACCTAACATGTGGACATGACTTGCCGAGTGCAGGCGAGCGATTTTGTTTTGTGCAGAAAAACCGATACTGTTACGAAGTGAGACGACTAGTCGTGGCGAGCGATCCCGAGTGGTTTCTAGGCACGCCAAACGAACCGCATACACCTTGGCGCTTGCCTGCACTCAGCCAGCTAGGGGAGTGACGACGAGAGTATTGTCACATTTCTATACGCTGGTACTCGCTCGCCTTCGATCGGCCAACATGTATTACTTAAGAGGTCAGCCACCGCGGAGTCTACTTCACCTGAGGACGTCTCGTATAGGGGTGAAAAACGTGTCGTATTATCAACGGTGATGTGTCTTTCCTATTGTAGTGGTATTGGAGGTAGGGGTGCTAGGATTCGCAGTAACGGGTATAGTGCACGCAATTTAGGCAGGGCGGGAGGTACTCTTCAAACTAGATAAAACACATCATTTTATTTTATTACGAGGATCTCAGCTGATTTTTTTTACATCGTTAATGTACCTAATGGATTTTTTGCAAAGTAACACCTGGTTTTCCTATTACGTACCACGCGGAGCAATCCGCGTTCGTTCCCCGATGGCATCAATGAAAATTTTAATTATCACATGCTCGTCGGTAAAGGAAAACGTCGTGAGGATACCTGCATGTTTGAGAAGCATAAAAGGGTATCGCGGATAATTTTTCCTTGCACTAAAACCTCAAGAATATGAAGAGGCATGTGCCTCGAATTGGGACGTCTATAGGTTGTAGTTGTATATAATACGAAGTTGTAAAAAGATAAATAAAGAGTATTTTAATTCTAATATATTGGGCGATTTTTTTTATTGGTTAGCGGTTTTTCCGTAAGGTCGTGCGGTTTCCTTTAGAACATTTCTGGCAACCCTGACTGCGGTGGAGTCCCACGTTCAGCATGCTAGCTTTGAGCTGGTCACGCGTTAAAAAGGATTGTTGTTTTCTATAAAGCAAATAGATGCAATTATATTCAGAAGTGAAACTGGTCGAGTTCAGAAATATGTTGTTTAAATTTTGTTTTCGCAATTTTAGTAACAAAGTGTAGTAGTTAAAGTGTTTATCTAGATATTCTAAAGTTAAACTAAATTAGGGTCTTAATTAAAAGTAATTTTATAAAATAGCATTTATTGTACAAAGTAAAATGTAACATTAAATTCAGTCTTAAGAATACGCACAATTATAACTTATTAGTACACAGGAGGCACTGGCACAGTAAATATAAAAAAGAAGTCATAAGTAAAACCTTATTCATCAAAAAATTTACGTGTAAAAGTCATAAATATAGCTTACTGATAAACCTGTAATACATTATCCTGCTCAATACTTTCTCTTACATTGATTTTTTCAATATGACTAAAAGTATACACAGTTTCAACCTTAAGTACATCTTAAGTTCTAAAAATAGTCATAGAGTACCTGAAGTACAATAAGACCTGACATGGAACATTAATACCATAAAATTAATAATGTAAAAGGAGCACCAAATACTCAAAATCATTGCAATGATATTATCAAACCTATATATAAATCTTACTATTAGGTTTTTTAAACTGTTGGAAAACAAATATATCACAATAATAATAATGGCTGATTATCAGTATTATATACAAGAGAGGTAGATTCGCTTATGTTTACTATGATGCTTCCATATGTCTATGTACAGTAACAGGGGCAATAACACTGTTTTTACCACATGGTACAACAGTCATGAAATCAGGTTTTAATCTTGGTTTAATCTTAGCCGGGATGGGACAACTGACATCAGACTTTGTGTCATCTGATAAAATAATTGGATCATTAACAGAGAACCCTGTGGCTTCTGAATCTTCATGAGGAGTCATGGTAGAATAACCATGATCCGAACCCCCTGTTGTATGAGGCCGTCTATAACCAGTGACTACTCGATAAGGCGATATTGGAGCTTCTATCTCCATGGCTGGCAGTAATTTATCTTGCCCTGACTGATCATGCATATCATCCGATTGCAAGTGACTCATTTGTACATCAGCATCATGCCATGTTTCAGCTGGACCGTCAACATATAAATTGTGACAACTTGCTGTAGTTACATTTTGTCTATAACAATATATTGCAACAGCTATAACTAAGCTTATGGTTATAATACAACCTGCTATTGGCCCTATCGCTGAGTAGCTTCCTAAAGCATCTCTATTGGCATGACCATATGCACTTTCACCATATGGGGTGACAGCTCCTAATACTCCATTAAAACACGTTGATTGAGAAGTACAAAAAGGAGAAGATAGTGGTGTCCGACCATCAGCATCTACCTGACACCACTCACAACCCAAAACGCCTAAGCAAGTTAAGTGAGTTAAATAAGTCTCACACTGAAAATCGAAGCACATCTTCAAATTCTCTGCAAAATTATGAAAGTAATGGGATTTATGATTGTTATTTTCAGGTACCATACCACAAAGAGGTATGTTTTCATTGATCCTTGTTGCATTGGCATCGGGGCATTCATATATCTCTGAGCTACATTCACATGGACATTCGCATTCAGTTTGCTCCATACGATTGCAATTCAAACATAGACGGTCAACCATGCTGCAAGGGCAAAATGCTCCTACATTACAAGATGCATTCACAAGACCAATGAAAGCATTTGTACCTGGAATTGCTGCTATATAGTAATGAATGCAGTGATCACCAGAAACAACGTTAGAGAGCACATTAGGCAAAGAAGTGTTAAATTCATAAAACCTTTGTATGGTTTTATCAAAAAAATTGTTGCACAGCCTTTTAGTGACAAAACCCTTGTGGTTTAACATATCAATAGCAATCATTGATTCCTTATGAGTTATATGCTGTTGCTCTATAGGTCCAGAACTATTTGGATCCATCAATCCAGGGTGTAATACTAAGTAGCCGCGATTATTCATTATTAAACATTTTACATACGACATGGCACATAGAGGCAAGCTATCAATAAGGAGTTTATATAAAAATCCCATAGTGACATCCATTGAAACAACCATAGTTGGGTATACTAAGCTATGTATTGCATAAGAAATTGATACAACATATCCTGCACCACCTACGTCCAGATTCGGTGGAGTTAAGATTATCTTACCAGGATTTTCCATGGCAAATGTGTACCAGGGTCTTCTAACCGGTTCATAGTCATATTCGAGAACTGTTCCAGGGTACATAACTAAAACACCACTTTCTGTGACTGCATATCTTCTTACAACATATTTAGAGTAAGGTCCATGCAAATGTTGCCTTTTAAAAAATGACAAAATAGAGTTAAGAAAACCAACATCCTGTTGAATCTCATTCTTTAATCCCGGATTAGAGAGCAAGCCATGTGCTACACTCCTTAAATAAGCTAAATAGTTTTGCATATAGGTCATTGCTTCTTGTCCATCACCCATATCATACAGGTAAGTAAACGGAGATTGAAAACTAGAGGGACTAAGGTAAACAGTACCCTGATCAATAGTGGCTATTTGTTTAAAATGACGGCAAATTGTGCCAGACTTTGGTGGAAATAAATCGAGTCTGTGAAACAGAATTTCTTTACTACTTTTTGTAAAGAATATATTAGATTTATTAATCATATTATTACTTGTAGACTCAGAAATTAAACAAACTATATACAATTGTTGCACCCATTTCCAAGTGTATGTTATTGACTTAGTACTATTGTGATCATGATGTGTACTGTTTCCTATTGCATTGAATAACATTTCTTTTTTAACAATATTCACAAAATCAAAAGGTTCAATAGCTTCTAAATTAGTGAACTTAATTTTTTCTGAGGCTGCCTCTGGTCTTGGAAAGTATGTATGCATGAGAACTTTACCATAAAAATCCATAATGAAAGCTCTTTTCCACTGATTTGTTCCTTTAAAATAAATAATGTCCTCTGCAAGATCCGACCAATAAAGATCTAAACCAAGTACTCCATTTGTTATTGGATGTACTAGAGACATAATAAAGTCTCTTTCTGTCGCCTCCCATACTGGTCCTTCAATTTTTATTTCCCTGGCGTATTTACTAGGTAATAATGAGAGAAACGCTGAAGCCATTTGCCCTATTATTCCACTATCATTTATATGTAGCCTCATTACTGTATGATTGTTAGCTTGATTATGCCCTTTATCAATATGCAATATTTCTAGCGTGCCATTCTTATCAGCGTCACTCTGATTTATTAATCCAATGGCAAATTTTGAATTATTACCTTCATGTTCTGTGTATGGAAATATTTTAAGCCATGTATCATTTTTCAAAATTTTCGAGTCAGTCAAGAAAATGAATAATTTGTTCTCTGGTATTTTTTTCTCAAGTAATAATTTTTTAATTTCTAAATTGATTGAATATGGTGAAATATTAGATGCTGCAGTGTCAACTGTAGTGAGATATTCTCTCAGTAGTAGCTTGTTATTCTCTGTTGCATTGCCTAAATTTGTCATTCCATAGCTGCAAGCATCCTCAAATTTGAAAAAATCCGTCATATTTGTTATCTTTAATGCCATCATATCAATATTCTGTAATGCATATGCAGTCTCTTTTATAATTGCTAAGGCATGCAGTAGTGAAACTGATACCATACTATTATCAATAATAAAAACAATAAGTTTCGGATCAGGATGAATTATCTTATGATACAAATACCTCAAATTTGAATGAGGCACAGTTGTACAATCTTTATCAGTTGCATAATCCATATGAGAAAGAAAATATCGTCTTTTGATTTTTAAGTCTTTGAATCTGTCCAACATTTTTGATTTGGAATCTATGTAAGGTAAATTGTCATAAATGTTAGCATTCTTTATGAAAAATGATTTACGTATAGAATTAAATGGGCAAGGATGAGTAAAGGACGGACTAGAGCTGTGGTTCATTGCATTTTTCATATCCACTAGTATATTAGTAGCTGCAGAGAGTTTGTAATTCAATTTATCAGCTATACTGTCCAATATATTAGTGTCAGTGTATTGATAGCGGCTTACTTTGTAAGCATTTCGCAATTCGAAGTGGGTTGTGTACTCACTGCCAAGTTCTTGGATCACTATTTCTCTAAACTTACTAGCCAGAGTATCGGACAATTTGCGCACATTCGATTTATAGTCACAACGGCTACTGCTTATCGTGCCTGTGCAGTTTTCATTTTGAGCTTTAATTATTTGTATCATGAAACAACTGAGGATAGAAAAAATCAGTAATGCGAACTTCATCTTGTAAACATTATTTTTAGTTGCTTTTAAACCTCGATATTTATTCAATACATTTGGCACTACATGATATTAAATATGTCATGATACCGGCAAAAGCATTATCGTGATATTATTGAAACATAAAAAAGACTGTAAAAAGTAAACCAAACAAGGTTATTTGTATTATAAATCCACAGACATCAGACCATAGATACAATAATCAGACAACAGCAGTGTTGCCAACTGCCTGTAGCTTTACCCAGTAGCTAGACATTTTCAAAATGTTGCTAGATTTCCAGTTTTTTAACCTAAAAATATGCTAGAACTTGCTAAATGTTACAGTAGATAAGTAGGTTATAATAAAATGCCAGTTTCTGATAATCATTTTTATTCATTAATTCCAACGAGTAGTTAAATTAAGTCCTGTGTACGCAATTACGAATAAAAAATAAAAAGTAAAATTAATCAATTAAAGAAAAAGATGTCGATGGCTGTGGTTCGGTATCTTACATTGATTTCGAATATTTTTCAACGGTGCCCATTTTATACAGTACGTCTTTAGGCAAAACACAGTTATAGCAGCATTTACCACTTTTCCTGAGGGAGTCTCTAATGCAGAGGATTGAGTTCAGAATTTTCAAACTCATACGCAATGTGGCAGTGAAAGGCAAGTTAAAGCAAGAGTACTTATATCTTGATAAATTATATGTTTTCACCGGAAGAATTTCTAATTTTTTTTACTTCGACCCAAAACTGAACTATTTCTTCAGAATGCCACTTATTATATATGTAGAATGTACCACTGTTGCATTATCTTGTCTATTATTTCTGGTGTAAATCCCAAAATTTCGGCAACGTTGATTGCCTCCTCTGGACTTAACAACGCCATTGATTCTAGCTGCTTGTAGTTGTCTGAAAGCCTTTGTTGCAATTCCTTAAATAATTGCAGTAAGAAGGTGGAGCAGCGTTGTCGTATTGCATTTAAAATTTCGGAGTCTAAATGGTGTTGAGCAGTTTCAAACATGTAGCCAAGATAAGGCCTAGGGTTAATATCCCTGTCAGTTATTGGATCTAATAAAATTCTGTTTACAGGTCTTGGCATTAAAATTCTCTGGCTCACTGATTCTATCAATGTTGTAAGTGTACTGAGAAGTTTTAATGGATTAGAGTTTTCATTTTCAAATTATTTAATTGCTGTTTGAACATCATTTAAAACGCTTCTCAGAAACACAAAATATAAATAATTTCTTTTATCTTCGAGCATGTTGTAAATAAGCTCAGCCGAGTAGCAATTGTCTTTCACTCTTGCTAAATTAAAATGTATTTCCAATTCTTCCCATTGTGTCACAATTTTTGTTATTGCTGTCTCTGTTGAAAGCCAACGTATATCGCACACCTTGGTGATTTTCAACGGACTTTCGCCACAGTTTATAAGTTCGTATATTTTTGGAGACACAGAAAATCATTTATAAATTTCTCTAACCAAAAACTCTAAATTTCTTGGCAGAGTATTTTTGGAGGCATGGGTTACTGCTAACTGCAACGAGTGGCAGACACATCGTATCAGTATCAAATTTTCTATACCATATTCTCTTTTTAGGATTGCATGAACCCCGTTATTAATGCCTGTCATAACAGATGCATTATCAGTTCCAATTCCAATCATTTGTTTGATATCTATTTGTGACTCTCTAAGCATGATACCAAGCCATTAACGATTCCCCTAGTATCTGCACTCTCAATAGAAACTAGGTCCAGGAATCAGCTTACTATCCTTTCCTGTGCGGCACTATAATACCTAATTACAAGACCAAGGTGTTTACTGACACTGACGTCTGTGGACTCATCCATTATAATGCTGAACTTTTGGTATCCAATATCATCTAAGCGCTCCTTGAGAAAGTGCGGCATCAGCACATTTTTCATTATTTCTGTACATTTAGTGCAATGCAATTTAAGCTCATGTATAGCTTTGGAGTCTTTGAAACATATTTTGCATAGTTCACCTAATTGGTCAACACTTAATATAGAAGAGTGCTCGGCAATAAATAAGGTCAATGCGCCTTCAGATTCATCGCAAGGTCTAAATAAATGCTCTTTTGGTACAACTTTGAAAGGAATTTCTTTATTGTCTGTAAAGACAAAATTAATATACATAAGGACTCTAGACGCAAAATATTATTTGACCCTAAAAATTGGTAAAATGAAAATATCAAACTCATTGTTCCCATCGATAGAGTCTGATATCAACAAAACGAATTTTAAATTCATTCACGTACCTGTTTTGAACTCTACTTTCTGTTTATGCTTTTTGGTCTCAGCACGCTTCTTTATATCAAACAGTTTAGCAAGAATCTCCGTAGAACAATATGTACAAAATGCTTTGCTTGAGTCTCCACAGATATTTTCCCACTCCGGTCTGTATTTTTGTGCGTAGGTTTTTTTTTCAAAGGTAAATCCATTTCTAAATTAAATTAAATTAGTTTTATATGGATAAAACAAAACAACACAAGGTAGAATACGAATAGCGCGTACTATTTTAGTTTACGAAGTATTCTGCCGCAGAGGAAACGGGGAATCCCGGCCAGCGTCGACCTATACTTACCATAGCATCTATGACCATAGATTTTTTTTCTTTCGACTCGGCACACTACTCGACGAATTTCGATAGACTCACGTCTCATGATGAAATGAAAAGTTGCTAGAAAAAAGTAGCTAAAAAGTTTAGCAACAAGTTTTATTAAATTGTAGCTGTCTGTCACCAAATAATAGCTAGATCTAGCCGATCTAGCTATAAAGTTGCTAAGTTGGCATCACTGGACAACAGACACATTTTTTTATTAACTGGCTATACGGTTCTGGATTCTAGCCCTTCTGAGCCTTCCACAGACAGCACAAACTAACCTCCATGGACTAACTATAATCCTAGTCCTAAAATAGGAACAAAATTATTATAGCTTAAGTCTTTATACATATGACGTTTAATACAGTACAAAATAACACAGATATATTATTCTCACCTTCTTTCTTTTACAAGATGGTTGCCGTTTTTCCATTCCATAGACACATCTATAGATGTGCAGTTAGCGAAACAAAAATTATGTAGTGTAGAGGTAAGGAGAACAATCTATCATAGGCTTTGAGTATTAAACCAACTGGAGAGGCCATGCGCGTTAATTCCTAAACAAAAAATCTGTCAACATCAGGGGGGCGCAAGAAAACACACAACTGTAAACTTAACTACAAATGCAAAATTAAATCGTGTCACTATAAACGCACACTACAACATTTGTGTTTGTGTTCATCGCGTTTACGCATACCATCAAATTGTACACGTGTCGATACACTGGTGGCGCTGTCTAAATGCGTAAACAACGTAAGGCGTGGATTATTTCGATGTTTTTTTATCGATAAAGAAATCACCATAGTCCGCATAAGTTTTTATTTGATTATAAGTAATACATAGATAAATAATACCAAGGTGTTATTTTAAATTCTTTTTTTAAAGTAATTAGAAATTTTCTTCGGAAAAAACTTAGAAATTATTGAAAATAAGCTTATTATTTTGCTACAGGTTGATTTTACATTATGCAGGATAAAATTTTAAACATTTAACAAATCGAAATAGATTTAGTTAACTTATTTTAAAAATCAGATTGTTTGAAAAGAAAAGTCCAATCAGTTTATCGTCTTAGATGGTGTTAACCAAGTTTTTGTTTTTATTATAAAGCTTCGTTATCACAAAACCGCTAATTAAAAATAGTTGTTGATTTTGAAGAGTTATTAAACGAACTGTCTGGATAATATTTAATAAATTAGGAAAACAAAAAAAGTTTTACACTATATAATAGTTTAACAAAGTGAACTTTAAGCAGACAGCTGCTTAAAAATAAAACATGACATCTACCTAGGGCTAAGTATTCCTCAGAAAGATGTTTTGCTTTAACTTTACATTATTATTCACCGAAAGCTTAACAATATGTGCAAAATATCAAAAGTTTTGAAATTGGTCTGCCTTCATCACATACGATAACAAAGTGGTACAGTACAATTTATGGCCGACTTGGCTACACAAAAAAAAGCGTTAACTGTTTTAAAACTTAGACTAGAGAGTAACCCTGATAAGAAATTATATTGTATATTAGTGATAGATGAAATGAAAATAAAACAATTGACGGAGTACCATGCAAGTTCTAAAAGACATTTTGTTTATATACATAATGCCTTTGGCTACTAGCATGGTATTCTGTCAATTGCTTAATTTTCATTTCATCCATTACTAAGGTACAATAAAAAAATTATCAGGGTTACTCTCCTCTCTCAATATTAAAGCCGTCAGCGCTTCTTGAGTAAACCCTGGTCGGCGATCGATGGTAGTGTACCACTTAGTCAATACAGGACGGGTGCAGGCAAACATGTTCCAAAAGTTTTACGTACATAGCGACAGGCTTTTGGTGAGTAATAGTTAAGTGTTAGGGCATAGTATTTCTTGCAAACTTGTGAAGCCTGTTTATGCAATTGTTTTTTTATGTCAAGGCATTTTTTCATTCTATTTTTCCAGTGTTGGCTCGTACTCGCAGTGGGAGTAGGACTAGTTCGAGCTATTTAAGGAGATAACTTATGGAATTTTGCCGGAACATCCAGCTTTCTTTTTTCGATGTAGACGATATTGTGCAATCACCACGATCACCCTAAAATAAATAATTTTATTTTAGTCAGAAGATTCAAGATATATATATATATATATATATATATATATATATATATATATATATATATATATATTTATATATTAGACAAAGATATTTATTTTGTAAAACATGAGTAAATAAAATACAAGTGTTAAAAAACTTAAAACGAGCTACATGTTTTGCCATTTATGGCGTACAAAAATTATACTATACTAACTTTACAATTACAATAGTAAGTATATAAATATATGAATTAAATTTGATAGGTTAGTGCTTTTGTAAACTTAATAAAATATTTTCAAGTAGAATAATATTGGTATCAAAGGTAATAATAAAAATATTTAATCTAAATATAATTACAGCCCAACATATTCAATAAATAAATTTATTATTATTATTATTACCTCCCACAAGTTCAAGGTAGGTACTGCAGTGTCAGATTCATGGTTTCTACAAGCTACAATCCAAGTGTGCCGCCTAAGAGGATCTCTTGGAAATCGGTAATAACAAACCAATAATAGAAAAATTTACTACTTTTTGTAATACTTTATTATAAACTCTAAATAAAAACTACAAACCGGTTCGGCAGACAAACCCGCATGGTTAATTAACTTATCGATAACTAAAGTTGCGGCATGCATCACTATAGTGCAATACTTTCGGTTGCAGTGATACCAGTTTATTTTTATAAAAATTGCACACTTTTGCTGCGAGGTAGCAAGTTTCGATTTGACTTATTTGGCCTGTATTTTGTATAATATTTTAATAAATACTAGTTATCGATTATATTTAATTATATAATATTCAGTATCGTGTTAAAATTGAGCTGAATATATAAATCCTTTAACAAAATCCACTACACATCTATATGTAATGATTATCATTCATTCATCACAAACTGATTTAGTTATTAGAAAATATATTTTCGTTAATATATATAACTTGTGTAGTAAATTATATTTTTTTTAAATAGATTATTTTTCACTTTATGAACTATGATGGCCACACTCGGTATTGGACGATAATATTCACAAAGTACGAGTTTTAATGATAAAATTACTTTAATATTATGTTAAAAATACTCACAGATGAAAAGTCACATTGTCCTTTTGTATACTTGACGTTTTTGATTGTTTTTTTCATGTAAATACACTGCAATTCGGCATTTTGTCGGAGCTCGATTTACTGGCACGATCACTTCTAATTGACGCACAACGCGGAGCAACTAGTTTTATATAACGAGTATGAGTCGGACTCTCGTACCTTTTACAGAGGGGTATGCCTTGCGATGCCGTCTCCTTTGGTTTAATACTCAAAGCTCATCGGAGAATAGTTGAAAAAGTGTCCATCTGTATGCAACAAATAACAGTTCAAAAACTCTCCACAACAGCGCTGGAGTAGCGACAGGAAACAGCTACATGAAATGAACTTAGCAGTTGTCGATGATGTGAAGTGTGCTGCTAAACTGCTCAGTAGCTCTAAAATCTAAAATAATTTTATTTAGTAAATATAACCTCGAAAAAATTGTTTATTCCCCATAATTTACCCCGTAGTTATAGTGGCGCCATCCTTATTTAACGGTTTTCTACAGACGCTTTTTAATACACAGTCTGTACTCCTTACCTGTACACTTCACAACAAAAATGTTGTCGATGAATTCATTTAGTTTATGACTTAGTAAAATTAAGGATTTTTCGTAATACTTATCTATACTACTTAATCCGTTTCGTAATACTTATTTATATCAACGAAAGTTTATGGAAGCTTCATCTGACATCTTACAACAAAAGTTAGATACGTTTTGTTGTAAGATGTGTAAGTACGTCGAATAATGCAGAATTTCGTAGTATCGTTGTATTTAAAATATAGGGTGAAAAGTTCTCTATAAAATCTATTTCAATTCAGCCGGTATATTTTTGCCTAACTATACTTAGTATGGGTTTTAGAAAGAATAATAACTGTGTTTGTTTAATCGACACTGGGTTTATGTCACGCAACGTACACAGAAGGCTCATATACGATAGTTTTTTTTTATAGAATAATAAAAAAAATATTTTCATTTATCCTCGATTAAGAATCAAAATGCAGATGCGTTGTCACCCCTGAGGACGAAAATAGAATGCCTCGTTTCCAGTAAAAAAGGTCATTGGTTCTCTACACTCTATGCGAAACACAGCAGCCATAAGTTGCCATTTTACGCTGGTATTCTGTGAGAACGTGGTCCTACCCCGGTCGAGCCAACCCATTCGTGCTACAGCTGTTATAGCTACAGCACGTAAAGTAGTATAGTGATATAGTGATATAACATTGGCACGACCGCCTTTTCTTTTGTCACTAGATCACAACTACCTTATAGTATATGTAGTATAATAAATCGGCTAGGAACGTATTTCCCGTTTTTCGCTCTGCCCCCTCAAGATGTTATCCATCATTAATTTAGTAAATATGTGTAGCCAATCACATGTCCACTGCTGAACGATGGGGGAACATTTGCCACAGTTGCCTCTCTTAGCAAGTGGTATAGCAATAGCATTTTTATATTATTGTGATTGATTTTTTTATTGTTTTGTCTTAAAGATATTGTTGTCTATCTCACGTTATATTTCTGTCGTTTTTTTACAGTACTCACTGGATTGTATGGGGTCTTAGAGCTTCTGAGTAATAATATATCATATTATTTGGTAGGAGGTAGTGAATTATTTTTAGCCGCCGCTATACAGCATTATTTAGGTCCTGCCTTACCTTCGCGATTTAGAAATATTTTCTACCAAGTAGATAAAACTTTTTTAAAAAAAATATAATCGATGGTATATATTTTCCGCTAAACAAGTGGTAAATCTAAATAAATAAAAATCGATTACCACATGTATGAAAGATCATCTCTCACTTATAATTGGACCCTGTATGTGGCATTTTTGTCAAGATAGAAAACAGTCGTGAAAAGTCTGGGCGGGTCGTTAGGCAGCATATAAAATTATGATTACAAATGAGAT